GGAAAGAGATGGTGGATTACATTTGCCAGTACCTGAGCAATGTGAGAGAGAGACGGGTGATTCCTGATGTGCAGCCAGGTTACATGAGAGCCCAGTTGCCGGATTCTGCCCCAATGGACCCAGACAGCTGGGACAACATCTTTGGAGATATAGAGAAGATTATTATGCCCGGGGTAAGAAAAAAAAAATATAATCATGACAGGAAAAAGCCGTTACTACCTAGGGTGAACACCAAATCCTGGGAATGCACAGGTTCTGCAGAACGCTTATCTAAATAAGTAAAGCGCCCAAAATGTAGGACAAGTCTTGTAGACGTTATGTCCACAGAAGGATTCTGGAGATTACTGTTGTGCTCCTAACTACAGTTTTAGGGGATAGACTGCATGTATTTTTGAAGTATTTCATACATTAAGAATAACTCATCTTTATATAGAGGGAACCAATGATTTTCTGACACTGGTGAATTTAGCTTCACAAGGCCTCTTTGTGCTGAACTGCATCATTTCAATTTCAGAGATGTGGAAACTCAGGCACAGCAAGGTGAAACATCTCTTGCCCAAGGTCATGTACCAATAAGACTTGTCTCCTGCTCTTTGAATGTAAAGGTCTCCTTCCTCTTGTGCATAAATACTGCAGATTCTGCTAAGGGAGTTCATATTACCTAATTATTTTATGTAAGAAGCTGTTTCAAAGTCTATTTTAAAATTTCTTTATAGATGTTTGCAGAAACTTGGTCCGATGTAGGAGAGGTATTCACGTTAAACATGCTTATGCTGGTGTCCCACATACAAGTTCCTTCAGGTGTATAGAGGGGGCTATATAATTGTAAATTGCTGTGTGTATGGCTAAAGGCAAGCTATTGTTTGACAAAATGAGCAAAAGCAACTTTGTTGCAAGGATTGCTCTTATAAAGATAAATATTTCGATAAATATTTCTGACTCTGTGCAATGTTCAAAAGACCATTCTTTCCTGTTCAGAATCTTTGTCTGCCTGTTTAATTCAGATAAATGCTTTTGCTATAATTTGGAATTTATCTAATAACGACACAGTGTTATCATTTGCTAGTGCTGCATTCCTGTTGATATTATCTCTGTAGCTTTCTGCTAGCAGATCTATAATTGCACATAGTATGTTGCTGTGATCCTTTTCCATTACTTTAAACAGATGCTAGTAACTACATCTCATGCAGAATTTTGTGACATTTTCAGGCTTAACTTCTAGATAATTTTGTTCTAGGTAGTCCATTGGCAAAGTCCACACATGCATGCCTACTTTCCAGCTCTTACTTCCTGGCCTTCGCTCCTTGGAGATATGTTGGCTGATGCAATTAACTGCTTAGGATTCACATGGGTAAATTTTTTTTGTTGTTGTTATTTTAGATACTCATCTCCTGTGTGTATTATGCAGGAGCAGGTCATAGTCATTCTTTCTTGTTCTGTGAGTCAGTATAATTATTTACTTTATACAATTGTATGTTGTTTGCATAAATGAAAAATGTCACTTGAATAAATAAATAAATAGAATATATAAGAGCAAACGTTATCTAGTAGTAAGAGGTGAATGAAGAAAATATACCACTAGAAATGTCTGTTTTCTAACTCTTTGCATATCCCACTGTGAACATTATTCCCTGTCGTCTAGTCTCAGTGCCAAGACTGTTACACAAGTACTGCAGGCAATAGAGCAGCCACCATCCACGACTGCAGGCTAGGTTGGGCTCCATTCCAGTTCTCCTGCTCCTTTGAGAGAACACATTTCCTATTTTTCCTCTTCTTAAAATAATTGCTTGGTGGCCTGTCCCAGAATATCTGAGTATTTTGTATCCTCCTCCAGCAGCTACACAGCGCTACTTGGTTATGACTCTACATACCTCAATAGCGTTCTGAAGCCAATGTTTTCCCCAGTGGTGAAGCTACCCAGATTTTTAGATATATGTCTCTGTGCAAGAAAGCAGTAGAAGCTCATAAACCTGTAAGAAATTGATGGTTGTAGTCTCCATGTAGTTGTATCAGACTAGCTCACTGGATACACCGAAGCATCCATTTCCATGCCCTCAACCTAGTTTTGATAGATTTCTGTTAAGTTTGCTATGTAAACCGATTTTTTCATAAGCGGAAAGCTGGACACTGCAGAACAGCTTTCATCTTTCTTTTGCTGCTCTTCAAAAAGCTTCCCTTAACTCTCAGTTGGAAGACGGATCAGTGCCCTTTCTTGTTAGGGACCAAGAGCACGTACTTGTGTGGTGAATTGTGGTTCCACAGTTTTGTCTCAAATGGCTCATTGTGGTTTTGGGGTTTTTTTATGATTCAAAAATTATTGATAGTTTAGAAGCTCAACACTGAGGTGATGCAGGTAAGGTGGTGCAGAGAGCATTTTAAGGAGGCTGGTGAGAGTCTCTGTATTTGGTGTTCCAAGAGAGCAACTGGTAATGAGCAGGTACCCAGAGCTCACCCTCAACTGCAGCCTTGACATAGAGGTCTGTATTACAGAACTCACCCAACAACATAATTTTTATTACAAGAGTGTTGTGTTCTGCTAGGCATGGGCCATAGCATTACACAGCTGCTTATATATCCAGTGCTACAAAGCTTGTCATCTGCCTTTGTTGCATCTAGGTGAGATTTCTCCCAAGGCAATTAAAAAGCGTTAATAGCTTTTAGTTATAGCTAATATTTAGCTATTTAACTACATTAGTTAATAGCTATTAGTTAAAGTGTGATATGGGGTTTACTCTAAGGATTATACTCCTGTGTTTGGAGAGTGAGTTACAGCCTGATTCTCTTTTTTTGATTTTTCTAGGCCTCCAGTCCAGCCTGTACAGAACTGGAAATGAATGTGATGGATTGGTTGGCTCAAATGCTGGGCCTTCCAGATAAATTCCTGCACCACCATCCCGAGAGTGTGGGCGGAGGAGTATTACAGGTAGGGGAGATCAGAGGTGGCCTCATCAACATTTGTTTTCATTCAAGTGAATTTCCCTCTGGGTGATATTTTCCTGGAGGCAAAAACAACAAGATTTGCTCTATGTGTCTGAATAGACAAATCCCAATTCGACATTACTTTGCCCAATTCTAGTATTAAATAAAGAAGATTATAGAATAGGAATTGCTGTTGCTTTTAGTCCTAACTGTGTTACGGACGAGGAGCAGATACTCTTGTGGCCTTACTAAGGATAAATGAGAGTCAGACTTGGTTTCTTCAGTCTGTTTCACGTCACCAGATTATTCACTGAAGTGATTCTTACATAATTAGAGAAGGAATCGTTGTCACTGTCCTTCTGCCAGCAGTCCTTAGCCACAGAAGAAATTATGTTTCCTTTTTCTCATTCCTACTTTGTGTCTCTGAGAGTTGCAAAATCAAGGCCTGAACCTTTACTTCCTTTCATCAGGCCGAAGCAAGTATCCCCTGGAATCAGTGCTGAGGCTCTGCGTTGTTATAAGGAGCTTTGCTCAGGTTTGTAATTTTTATGGGAGATACTACATTTTAGCTGTAGGAGAACAAAAGGAAAATGTGATTTATTTACTCCCCCCAGCTCGGTCCTGCACATTAAAAATATACAGCAGTTAAAAGGCTTTGTTTTGTGTTGCTGGCCCAGAGAGCTGCTCCTCAGCTAGGGACTTTCCACTGCATCCCAGAAAAGCGGTAGTAGAAATAAAAGAGGGGGTGGGCAGCTGAGCACTTCAGTGACTTCAGTAAATCCCTGACAAAGTAGCACTAAGGTAGCAATATGTTGCAGTAAATGAGCAATGTCTTTGCAGAGCACTGTGAGTGAATCAACCCTGGTTGCGCTGCTAGCAGCAAGGAAAAACAAAATTCTGGAGATGAAGCTTTCTGAGCCAGACACTGATGAGTCCTTGCTCAATTCTCGCCTCATCGCTTACGCGTCTGATCAAGTAGGTTCTTACAGTTACAAACAAAGCAAATTAGCTTCTGCTGTCTCACCCAGACCATACAACGTGAACTCACGTTTCTGTACCAAGAGAAAAACGCAAACACGAATGCCTTGCAAGCGTGAACGAATCCCTCTAACGTTGCTTTCTGCAGATGGGGAAACGAAATCAGTGTGAGATGAGGTTTTGCAGGGTCCCGGCAGTCCTCAAGAGACTGTTTCACATGACTCATTTCTGCACTTCCTTCCTGTTTTTCAACAAAGCCTTACTCCAGTAACGAGACGCTGATCTCCTGCTGCTTCAGCTCTTGTTTCTTCACAGCCTCCTTCCACTGGAGACAGGCATGCCCAGGGTGTTACCTCAGTGCTGCTCCTGGTTGTGGTCTCCACTCTAGGCCTCTGTGCTTGTTCTTGGAGGAAACATGTACGCAGTACTGTGGCTCTGCCTGCAAACCTGCTCTGTCCTTGGACTCCTGAACTGAACAATCGTATTCCCCTGTGAAAACTGCAAAAGGAGAGATACTCATGCTGGTTCTCTCTTAGTTAACTAAAAAGGCTTTTTCTTGTGAGGGGTTTTGGTCTACCCCAGCCCAGAAGTAGGCATACTTCAGGGGTTTTTTATCTTCTTATGGCAGGGAGGAGGGAATAAACTGAGGTTGATCCATTTCTAGAGGGTCCTTTAAGATCTGAGTTTTGATAAATGGCCCTCCAAACACAAGGTAAGGATGCCATTTTAGAGACCAGTACCCAAATAAATGGAGCATATGCATTCCTTGGAATTACAATGTATTATTTCTTCTAGTTATTCACAAAGAGGAAACTTTCAGACTTGTATTAATATGGATTATAATAAGGATTTTATGTCTGCTTTTCTTGCAACCACTGTCTTTTATAAGGCCGTAACTTACCACAGCCGTTCAGCCTCAGACCTTGCTTTCTTACTGTTTCTTTTTTTAAAGGCGCATTCTTCTGTGGAAAAGGCTGGCTTGATTTCTCTTGTGAAGATGAAATTCCTGCCTGTGGATGAGAACTTTTCCCTCAGAGGTGAAACTTTGAAGAAAACCATTGCAGAAGACAGAAAGAAAGGCCTAGTGCCAGTCTTTGTATGTTCAACTTGCTGGTTGGCGGTATTGACATAGTGGTGTATTCTTAATGTCAACATAAAATTCCATCTGAAACACTTCTTACTGCGTTAAAATACATTAGCTGAAGGTTAAAATGTATACAAGAATTTCTATTGAACAAAAAAATTTTAATATAATTTTGACGGTATGTGATAGCCTCTCCACTTTTAAAGTGTTGCATCCATTTATTCAAAAAATGCCATCTTAACAGGCTTGTTTTCTTCTAGGTTTGTGCAACTCTGGGTACAACTGGTGTCTGTGCTTTTGACAATCTCTCAGAACTGGGTCCAATTTGTAAGTGTCTTTTTCCTGATTTTAAACTGTGATAGCGCAGAAAAGATAGTATGAGAATTTTTCATGCCAAACCCAAGGAGAGTAGAAACACTAATCGGCTGAGCTTTTCAGATGTGTCTCAAAGGTCAGTGGAGCCGGCGCAAGACTTTGCAGTGATTTCTGTAAGATTTAGATTAGGATGCTAAAATACATTCCGTTCAAGATGGATGAAATTTGTCAACTGATAAATCTTTAATGTGGTTATTCAGGGAATACAGACTGTACAGGACAGAGTGTGGTACTGTTTAGGATGGATACATAAATATTTAACCTAGCGAAGGACTTTTGAAGGTAGTGTTTCGTAGGAAATCCTTTGTAGCCACCAGTTCAATAGGTAGATTTGACATGGCTGCAGATTCCATTCCAGCATAAATTCTGACAAGTAGCTGCTGAAGACCTGCAGCACTTTCTCTTATGGGTTGGAGCGTGGCTTCTATCTGTGGGTCCTTTTTGCTTGCCACCATGTCTTCGTTCTAGCCTTGCGCAACTGCGTTGTACTGGGGAATTTCACTTAGTAAAAAGGCAGGTCACAGAGATCAAATGTTAAAAAGCCTCACTCGTATGAAATACAGAATAGTGCATCTTGTTATAGAGTCCATCTGATTTCAGCATTATCCTATATTTTGGCATTCTGGATCCACAGCTTTAGAATAAAACTAGATTGTCAATTGTTTGTCTTGCTTGCTATTTTGTTGTCAGCCTGTCTGCCTCTGGCAAAAACATGCACCTAGTTTTCAGAGAGGAGAGATTAAGCATGTACTTTGATTCCTTATGTCCCTTACATAACAACAACTTCAATTCCACCAGGTGATGCTGAGGGACTCTGGCTTCACATTGATGCTGCATATGCAGGAACAGCATTTGTGTGTCCTGAGTTTCGATTGTTCTTGGATGGAATTGAATATGCAGATTCTTTTACTTTTAACCCTTCTAAATGGATGATGGTTCATTTTGACTGCACTGGATTTTGGTGAGTAAAGGCAAAACACAACACCAAAAAGATAACATGCAAATTGCAAAGTCTTTCTCTGCATGATCCTTTGCTAAATACAGCTCATTCTACAATTGATAGGGTTAAAGATAAATACAAGTTACATCAAACCTTCAGTGTTAACCCTGTCTACCTCAGACATCCCAATTCAGGAGCTGCTGTTGATTTCATGGTAAGTTGTTATTTGAGTTAACATTTTAAATCGCTTACAAAATGTTCAAACCGAATGCGAAATTCCTCATGCTCTAGAGTGTGCTTATCTTATAGTTGGTCTTATTACATAAAAGCATAAAACCAATTATACTGAGATCCTAATACAGATTAAATAATAAAACTTTGAAGTGAGCCCTGGTTATGAAAATTAATTATAAAATTGCTTTCAGATATAGAGATCGAAGTACTTAAGCTTTTTACACAGATGGGGATCCAGCGTTGCCACCTTAGATAGAAGGGTCATTTCTGTGCATCGTGTTGCTCAAATAATTCCTACTGATGGCATTTTGGCTGGTTTTCTTGTATCTCTGATATGTATTAAACAAGAGAAAACACTAAGCAATGGAAACACCATGCTCTGAAACAGCAGAATGAATTATGTTTTTCTTCAGATTAAGGTATTCATAGGAGAGCTAAGAGGCATTTCACTTTAGATCCATCCTACAGATTATTTCAGTCCAGTGAAACAAAAGAATATTCACTGTCAATTGTTTCTGCTATGATCTCACCCTGGCCCTGAAAAGATAATTGTTTTCTTGAAATCAACAGTGCTTTTTACTAGAGAATGTTGGGGGGTGGGAATGTATCAGTGGGTCCCTCTTGTGGTTAAATAGGCCCCTGCATGTAATTGTGTAGCTCCCTAGAAGTGTTCCTTCACATGCTCTGTCACTCTTCCCATGCAGTACGTGATACTTCCTCTGGAAGGGGTCTACCCCTGTAACAACTCTTGCTGTTGATGCTGATTTGGGAAAACGTTCGGAATGGCACTTAAATATGCAAATTACAGGAACTGAAGTGGGCACTCAGTCCTTAAGTGTAAATGGACACAAATTGATAATGCTCTTTAAATGCAAAAAGGTTTTGTTATTAGCTGGTAATTAACAACAAATTCTAAGCATATATAGGCCAATTAAGGCGAATAGCCAAAACCTTATTTTTGCAAATAATTGAAAAATATGTAGACATAGTGTTTCTTTGGTGGCTATTTCCTAGGCTTAGCAGATTTTCAGTAATATGAAATTATTTGTGTCACTGGAGATTTCTGACCTGAGTCTGAAGCAACAGACCTAGCAGTGTAAGGGGACAATCCTTTCTGTTGTTTTTGCACTCATTGATACACTGTTGTGTTTTCACAGCACTGGCAAATTCCACTGAGTCGTCGATTTCGTTCTTTGAAGCTGTGGTTTGTGATTCGTTCATTTGGGGTGAAAAAGCTTCAAGCTCATGTCCGACATGTATGTGAATTAACAATGCAAGCATAAATGTATTGTGTTCATTTATTGGTAGCTGAGTTTAATAAATTCAGTGATGCAAAGATGAGTAACAGAAGTCCTCTCGCACACAAAACTCGCATGTCAACACTAAATGCGTGCTGATTTTACTCTTAAGTAATCTGTAAAGATTGACTGTGTAGACAAAACATTTCCTGTACCCTTCTTGGAAGCAATAGGCAATGGAAAGCGACTTGGTAAGTCAATGCCTTCTGCACATTACTGAGTACTAATCTGTAGAAGCTTTCTTTGAGGCAAAGTGGCAGCTGTTCGGGAGGCAGGCTGTGACGGATGGCTGAACACACTGCTGTGAAAATTTACAGGCTTAAGTCTTTGATGGAGTGTAAATAGAAGGGATCATATTGTGGATCAATGGTTGCCGCAAAAGGTCTCTAAATCTGAGAAGGCACATCCTGTTTTCAAACCTTCTTCTAGGAAATTCCTCTGTATAGTCCAGTTACTCTTGATCATTGTCAAGGGTTTGGGCAAACAGAGACTTTAAAATTCTTAGCTTTGTTGTCATTCTTCTGTTTGCTACCATTCATGCATTGGAATGATGGGTTTTAGTAAGGAAAGGAATTCTTTTTAACTACTTAATTTATTGTCTTGTAGTGGGTTTGTGACAAACTGATATGTAACTACTTTTTTCCCTTAATTATAGGGTACTGAAACAGCCAAATTCTTTGAATCATTGGTTAGAAGTGATCCACTCTTTGAAATTCCTGCCAAGAGACATCTTGGACTGGTTGTATTTCGTCTAAAGGTAAAGATTGGGCCTTTTGCATGTCTCTTTGGAATGATTTGACCACAGCTGATCTCTCCCCAGACACTAAGAACTGTGAATAAACTTTCATGCAAGAATTTGTAATGCTGGAATTCTTACAGAGATGTTTGAAAGTCACTGGAAATTCTAACTATAGTTTGGGGTTTTTTTTTCTTATTCGTATTTAAAACAGGGTCCCAACTGGCTGACAGAAAAACTCCTGAAAGAACTAAGCAGTTCTGGCAGGCTCTTCCTTATTCCAGCAACCATTCATGACAAGTTGATCATTCGCTTTACTGTAACATCTCAGTTCACAACCAGGGAAGATATTCTGCAAGACTGGAACATCATTCAACGTGCTGCATCCCAAATCGTTAGCCAGAATTATGGGTTGCGCTGCATCAGTTCTGGTGATGGGGCAAGAATCCCTAATATGATAGCTAAGCCTAGTTCCGATGCCATTAGTAGTGCTTCTCAGCCTTCTCTAGATGGAGGAAAATACAAAACACCTTCCAGAAAAACAGTAGTTCAGCCTATGAAATTAGCAGCAAGTCCCAGTACATGCGTGATTAGTCAACAAGTGAAAGGTCAAGGGGATCCTCTAGATGACTGTTTTCCAGAAGATGTCCAAGATGTTACCAAACATAAGTTAACCTCTTTTTTATTCAGTTATTTATCTGTTCAAGGCAAGAAAAAGACAGCACGTTCCCTTAGCTGCAACAGTGTGCCAATGACTGGTGGTCTTGAGCAATGTAACCCCAAAGCAGCAGCCACTGACAAGGAGTCTCATGCAAATGCCAGAATTCTTTCCAGGCTGCCTGAAGAGGTGATGATGCTCAAAAAACGTACCTTCAAAAAACTAATTAAGTTCTACAGTGTCCCAAGCTTTCCAGAGTGTAGCATTCAGTGCGGCCTTCAGCTGCCTTGTTGTCCACTGCAAGCCATTGTTTAACAAGTAAAAGAGACTGGTCCTTGAGACCTCTCCAGGTAGAAAGACAACCAAAGTTTGCTTAATCATATGCAATACTACATGTTAGTTTGTTCAATATGTAAGCAGTGGCAATGACCACTGAGAAGATTCCTGTGCTTTTACTGGTGGAAACCTCATGTATTTAGATTAAAATCTCAAATAAATCTTGTAGGCCTATAACACGAAACTCTCTGTTTTGTACACTGTGGTAAAAAAAAAAGCCGGTTTCTGCCTTATCAGTCCTGCTAATGGACAGTTGCTAGCTGGTAGGCTAGAACCATTTTGGCAAAATATGCTGGCCTCAGTGGGGGGTAAACGATTTAGCTTTCTATTTGCACCGTTGGTTTTTTCTTTTTTTTTTTTCATACCTTGACTTAAACTCTCTAGACTGCTGTGAGGATTTTTGTGTGCAGACAATGCCAACATCAATTCTGAACTGTGCAAAAAGAAGGATGCAACCTCTCTAAGAGATTTTGCTGTATTAGGGCAATTTTAAAATGCCCCAAGTTGAGACACACAAGCAGCCCTGCCGTTCCATCTGTGTTCATGAGGTACAGTGCACAGGAGGCTTTATGCAGCCATGTTGCAAGAGCAGTTGCCCTTGCTAAGCACCTGTGGCCTTTGTCAGCATTACCTAAGGTCTGTAAATCACAAGTGCGTGAGGAAGAGAGTAGGAATGATATTTCACCCTTTCTCATATCAGAAGAACTAAGGGGCATTACAGAAGTAAAGGGTCTCTATGCAGCAAACAAACTTACTGTTACAAGAGGCCAATGATTTTACATATTTTTCAAGAATAATTTAAAAAATTGGGGTGAGAAAAATCTATTGAGGGCAGCTTTAAATTCAGAGATACTACTGTTGAGTCAGGATGCATGATGATTGCTAGGACATTATTCTGGGAAAGCAGTACTAGGTGCTTGCTGCCATCTTCACAGTTGTTTCCAGACATCTGCAATCACCCCATCTTGAAGGCAGTGTACTCAGCCAGATGGATCTTCAGTCTGACCCAGTACAACTATTCTTAAGTTATATAAACAACGAGTCTGGTGAATCAGAACAATTTCCATACCTTTATACAACATTAGCTAAACTCACAGTGGGGCATATTGAGGCATGCGTTACAAGAAGCAGTAAAATTTGGCCTGCTAGTCCTTTCAAGTAAGAAAAGATTTATTTTATTCCATTCTGTAATATTATTTGCTTTTTTAAAAATCCTAGGGAAATCTAAGCCACACTTTATTATGAAGTATCAGGCCTCCCATTACTCTATTTGCACCCGAAGGAAAATACATCTTAGTTCTTATAAATCGTTCACATTCTGTGTATGTATTATTTGGTGCATAGAAAAATAAGAGGCATCTCTGCTGCAATGGATAAAAGTTAATGTAAGCATCTAACACAGACTTTTTTTGATTTGTTTAATTTGAGACAACTGCAAGCTTCATTAATGGTCTTTTTAATGAGTTTTGTGTTTTGACTTACAGATGTAATTTTTACTAATGCAGTGGATCACTCTTTAATATGCATATAAATGTATTTGCAGAAAGATGTCTTATATTGTAGCCCCTTTCACCTGCTTAGGTGCACAATATTAACACTCACAGCATTAACAATACCACCATACACAGTAGGAAGGTAGGTAAGATTCAGGGTGTGAAGGAGAGGAGAAGCCAGGCTAAGATACAAGTAGAGTTGGAGAAGTTCTGCTTTATTAAAACAATCTATCTCACATTCACACTTTATTTCACATACTGATATTTTCTAATATTAAAAAATAGGATTTCCTGGCAAGGTTAGAATAATAGATGCTTCAAAAACTTAGTATTATAAAACACAAATTTTTTTGACATGCTCACAATTTGAAGTGATGGTTTTTTACTGCATTATAAATGTCCTGGGTCATTTGTACATACAGGTTTGCTTTGTCATCCAGGAAATACAGGCGATCTTTGATGACTGCTGGATTGAAACCCTCCTCCACTAGTTGTACTTTACGGTACTTAAAAGTTGCTGTAAGTTCAACGGCACTCTACAAAACAAAATTACATCTCTACTTATCAATGTCAGCATGTAACTGTAGGAATTGGATTAGATTTCCTAAATTTAAAGGGAATCATATTTAAAGAAAATCCATATAGCACACAGAAGTCGAAGCCTTACTAACAGAGGTCTAAACTATCTGCATTTGTCAGATAACTGGTCTGTGGAGTATGTGGGCCAGTAATTACTCTGAATGTAAGAAGTTCTGGGGCCACAGAAACATTATTGAAGGGCTTACCTTACTATTCTATTTAAATGAGGCAGGAAAACACTTGTTTTCAGCTTTTAGTCAGACAGAATCAAGGGTTTTATCCAGATAATTATTTAATTGCTTTCTTGGATCAAAAACCAGCAGCATTTTTATCAGAAAAGAAGAGCAAAGAAAAAACGGCAGTTGGAGACTGGGCAAGAGTCGCTGTACTTTACATGGGATGGCAAAACAAACCACTACCTGGACTGGTCAACTGTTCTGTTTGTATAATTCAAAAGTTTAAAGATTGATTAAATAATTAGGCATGCTAGTATCTCTGTGTTAGTCCTCTTGAATTATCACAGTGAATATACAACCTTTCTCAAAAGAGCAATGTTACTTTTAAATAAATAACTTGAAAAGTATAGTGAGAATGACGTTCTTGCAACATACTCCTAATTCAAGTTGAACTTCAGTTTAGAATTTGGTTATTTATTCACTGGTAGGATAAAAACCTAAGGCCTCTCTTGCAAAAGACGGCTCTCTTGCAAGCTTTCAGTTGTGTGTGGATCTTTATTTTGCACATAACAGTCTGTAGAGGGAGCTCCACTAAACTGAGAACACAGTTGTGTTACTATGCTGAAGGAATCCAACAGGAAACGTATTTTCCAGATCTCCCTGATTTTGTATGTTAAAATGTGCCGGTATCATGTAGCTGCTCATGCAACTTGCTTTTTTTCAGGCTGAAGTGAAACATCTGGGTGCAGTTCTACTTTCAAACTGGTAAATGACATGAGCAAGTGAGAGACGAAGCCTTTTTGAGAGTTGCTAGTGTAACTAGAAAGTCCATAGTCCTCATAGGAAAGAGAGAAAACACAATGCAGACAGACACACAAAAGCTACTTAGGAACACTGCTTTACCTTAATCCTTATAAAATGAGGCCTTGCATAGTTTGGAAGGTGAGTGTTAACATGTCTGTAAGTACTTTCTCCATTAAATTCACAGTTTTCCTTTAGTCGAATACATGCCATTCCTGTTCTGCCTTCATAACCTGAAGGAATAATGACAGCAAATAACTGTAGTTCATATATAAATTTGAACTTCAGGCTAACTTTTTTTTCTTTTTCTTTCTCCTATAAGTGAACCCTTCCTTCTAAGCCACTTTAGAAAACACTAACATATTTTCCTTTAGACATCTAGGTGATCAGATTTTCTTAAGGCTTCAGCATGCTAGATGCCAAACTCTTTTGAAAGCCTAGCATCAGAATTATAGATGGCAGACATTTTGAAAATCATCCTTCTTCTGAAAGTCTTTGGAAAGACTTTGGAAAACCAGGTCTCAGTACTCTGAGGCAGAAGTCTGCCTGCAGCAGCATTTAACTGTGTGGGTTAATTTACAATAAATCATGGTAAATATGCTTGTACTTGTTGTGCTGACAAGCTCATCCACGCAGAAAGAGGACAGAAAGGAGTAAGACCCAGTTTACAATTGTTTACTACCATATGAACCATTAAGCGCTGCAAAAATCCAAGTACTTCAGATGTTTTACCTCCTTAACTACATACCGAGAGGGCTTCTTCCCTCCCCTTTCAGTGGCTGAGGGATAGGACACCATTTAAACACAAACCTTTTGGTGTTCTCTTTTTTGTTTTGGTGTTTTCTGGGATTACAGGTAATGCAAGAAGAACTAGGTAATACTTTTATACAAAGGTTTACATTAGAACCATATAAATGGTTTCACAGAATCGTATACAGGAGGAAGTGAAAATGGAAAGTAGCACCTAATCCTTAAAGAGAAGTAGAGCACAAGCATATGCTGATTTAAGATGAATTGTTCTTCAGTTTAAGTCTTGCTTCTGTTTGCCTTTAGCACCAGGTATTGATGACACCTGGCATTCCAATTTGTTTATTCAAAATCTAGAGTGTTGAATTAATGAGTTCTAAGGTGATGTATGCTATCACCCCAGCTACATTACTAAAGTATAAATATTTCTGTGCCATGTGTTAAAAAAAAAAAAAATTTCACAATCCACCCAGTTCTTACACAAATGTAAGGCGAGAACCGGTTTGAACAATATTTTTTTCTTCCATACAGTTGTTCCATAATTAGGTATTAACACCTCTTCTATGTGGTTTTACAAGAGCATTGAGAATAAAAGCGTATCTTCCTCATCTCCTAGACTGTAATCTGAGAAATACATAAAGAACTAGACTATTTATGTTGTTGCCTTTCTTTTGACATGTCTCCTAGGGCACCTGTGTGTTTATCCCTACCACAAAGCAGCTGAAAACAAGACTGATTTAAAGAGAGAGGCTTTAATTTTAGATCAATAGGTGTAGCAGAGACATACATGATTAATAAAAAGTTTATTTCAATTAAATTCACTATTCTAACAGATCATCTTGGTTTATAAACAGCCTTGTTATTCTAGCCTCAGAAACACTGGGCATTTCTATTCTCATGTCTTCTACTTTCAGTAGAGGAAATAGTGAGTGGATCATAACATTAACAGAATCTCTCACATGTTGAATAAATGGTGGAAGGAAATAGCAGATGTAGGAAGACTGATGTCTCTCACACACCTTTCAATTCCAAAACGCTAGATTGTCATTGATGTGACCCATGTTATGATATACCGTATCTGGAAACCTTTCTGGAAAAGTGTGATACTTGTTAATTAATATTGTTAATGAATTAATAATTAACCTGTTATACCTGTTAGTACCTGTTAACTTAGTTAATAGGGGCTCCAAAATTCCTCCTTCTTCTTAGATTACTCTAAGG